TCGGCAGTCCTAGATTCATTTCTTACAAAATGTTCAAAAACAGCCACCGATGACTCCACATGTTCCATCTTTTGTTCGGTTGTCAAACATTTGGGGATCCACTTTGCTGCCAGCATTCTCATTTCCAAGTCATTGTGGATAATGGCACCAACTCTCTCATGTAATGTTCTCAGATATATAGCAATAATTTTGGCTGATTTTCGGCAGTCCTACATGATTATGTCATGGATGGCTTTCACATTTGCAGGTACAGAGACAGAAAGAAGGCCTTCCACTGGGTTTCTCACTTTCAACACCGAAATGGCCAGTTTAAAAATTGACAACCCAACATTTAACTGTTGCATATGAAGGGCCACTGTCACCCATAGTTTGTGACATTTCATCATGGATCTGATTTGCACTTTTCCCTTGGAGAAACAGGAACTTGATTATGGTCCTATGCTCTTCCACATTGAACTTTTCTGGAGGTGCTGCCATGTTCACTTTGGACCAGCAAATGAAAGTTAAGTTAAAATCATAGGTAGTTGATTTTTGCACCATTGAATATAGACAAATTGGCCAATACACCCTGCAATTTATAGCTTCCTAGCTCAATTTTTTCTGGGCAAGGCGCAATACTTATTAGCACCCCCCCCCTCATAGTTGGATTCCACTAATACTTATTTCCACAACCAATTGGCCTAGAAGTGGTTTTCCCCCTACCCAACTCTGTAACATCAGATTAATTATCTCCACACCACAACAAACTTCTGGGAAATCATAAGGCTGCAGATTTGAAAGTTGCAGGGGACAGGATGCTGCTGAGTTGGTAGCCATAAACTAGTAACATTGCTACTGTTATTAACCATACACACACCCCAAAAAGGGAAGCATAGTAATACTGAATGAGGCTGAAATCCTAAACTCACCTCATAAAGCATACATTTCTCAGATTTTAAAAGCATTCATTCTACAAGTACCTGACACAAAATGCCCTCTGAAGGTCTATTTCCAGGAACATCAGTTCTGATGATATGCAATACAAAGATGGAGGTAACATGCAAATAGACATGCAGGAAGAATATGGCATCCTATGGGGTCTTCCCCACCCCCAATTGAGACAGAAATAGTGTCTATCAACAGCTGCTAAACGATGTCTTGATTTTGAGCATTCTAGAGCTGGCCTCCTTTTTAGATTAATGTTACTATCTTGGGAATGTGAGTTTATGGTTAAATTCACTCACCTCTGAAGTAGTGCAATGGGAAGGCAATTGGTGGCTCAGGTAATGTGCAGCTGTTTCCCTTTGAAACATCTTTGCAAGGATAGTCAGCCAGACTAAATTGAGTGGTCGGCTTGTAATCCATCCAGTCTGTACAACGCTTCTGTGTACTTCAACATCTTTCGCACACAGCTCAGACTAAATTGAGTTTGCAAAGGGAGGTCTCTATGCTGACTTAGAAGTAAACTCCACTGTATTTGTTTAAAGGGAATGGAAAGCTCTGCATGAAATTGTAGCTTGGGACTTTAAATGGCAAACAAGCTTCAGCACCATGCTCATTAAACTTTTTTTTTAAAATCCCCCTACCGTAATAAAAACTACAGACTTTTATTTTATTGCTCTGTTGGATATCCTGCCTGAGAAAGAATTCTGTGACCATTTAAAAGCACACTCAATGTTGTTGACTGTGTTCTTGCCTATTTTCTGCAGGGGGAGGAGGGATGCCTCTTCAAAGGGACATAGGAAGCTGCCTTATACTGTGTCAGACCAGGTTGCCAGCTTCAGACAGAATTCTTTCCTAACCCTACTTAGAAAGCTCTGATGTTCTCTGGTTGTCTCCCATCCAAGTACTAATCAAGCCTCGCCCTGCTTAGTTTCTGAAAGCTAACAAGGTCAAGTGTGTTCAGAGTGGTATGAGTAACAATGCAGGCTAGCCTCCATAAATCTAAGCCTTCCAACTTCCCTCTCCCCCTGTTCTAGCAGTTTGTGCAAATGGAAGCTATACATGAAAAACCACGGGCCAAATAAGATGTATTGTTTTTGGAAATTCATGGCATCATGGCCCTTGTTTGCTAAGATAAAGGAAAAAGCAGGAGATGTCTGATCTCATAGTTAGGGACATTTAATCCTTTTTATAGTTATCATTTTTCTCTTGAATACACAGAGTGATGTCACCGAAGTAAGATAGTGGCCTTGGAACTGAGCTCCATCAGAATATCATCATCGTTGTTGTCACCACCATCTTAGAACTGCAGAGCTGGAAGGGATCCTATAGATCATTGAGTCCAGCCCCTGTCAAGAAGGCACAGTGGGGAATCTAACTCCAAACCTCTGGATCCGCAGCCAGATACCTAAACCACTGAGCTGTCCAGCAGTCCTACAGACAGATTTAAACAACATTAAGAATCTGCAGAAAGAAATCTTAATATTTAAGCACAGGAATGTCCCAAGGTCCTAACAGCGGCAAATACTTGGAGCTGTGTTTCATGTCAAATAATAGTTGATTAAATGAGAGCTGCTAGACCAATCTGGTGTTCTGGAGAATGCTAAAGACTCTGTCAGGAATACAGACTATATGAAACAAATATCTGACCAGCTCAAGGCTATGCACCAAGAGTGGCAGGAAATAATGCCTCCCCTTCAAGAGAAGGTGGGGGGGGAAAATCTGAGAGCAGCACCCTGAAAATAGGCAAGGCCTACGAGCACACTGTTTGTGCCTTTGCCCCACTATACCTGGGAAAAGCAAACATGACTTAAATTTTTGGAAAACAAAGGGGGGAAAAGACTGAATATACAACCGAGAGGAGTGAAGCAACTAGAAGGGGAAAACAGCCTGATTGAATGGGCAATAGATTTATTTTAGAAGTACTTTGCAGACATCTATAGGGAAATATTTTATCAGTCCCCAGAGTAATGGTGGTTCACTCTCAGCCCACAAGCAGACTCCCTGACATAATGATCAAGTGTGCATAGCAAGGAATAAAACCCACCATTGTGACAACTCTGTGTTACGGTGGCCTGCTAACTTGTTTTGAGAAGGTCTGCTGTTCAAGCCACAAGATTATTAGCTTATTAGTCCCTTTCAGGACTACGATTAGACCTTTATCTCTCCACAGGATTGCCTTTATGGAAAAAGGGCTACTCGCCAGGGATAAAATGGCAGCTGTCTGAGTCGAAGAAGCAGACTCTTGAGATGATCTGCTTTTTGCATCTCTAGAGAGTTGGGCTGACATTGGCAGAGAACATAAAACATCTTCCCCAAGTATAAACAGATAGGTTCACTTGGGAACCTACAATCTTGTCCTACTGTTTCTCTATCAGCCTTTTATAGTATTTTTAAATGACTTATGCCCCCCCGCACACTTAAGATAAGAGCATTAATGCTATTCTTCAACAGCTTTATTAAAGCTTTGATGGTGATACTCTTGATTTTATGAATGTCTGTGATAGTTTTTGAAATAGGACAGGAAATGATCTCCCGCATGATGCATCTCCTATAATGTTGGTAACTGTCAATCTGATTTCCTGCACTGATCCCATGGCTATTACCGGTGCATGAGAATCTATGCCTCAGAAGTCCCAGTTGGTATTTGGGGGCTTTTTCTTTTGCACTTTAAGTTCTGTTGTTAGTGACCCTAGTTTAGTTAAAATTTTATTGCAGTAAGTTACAAATGGAGGGTAATGGTTCACTATACAACGAAAGGTAGTCCCTGTTAAACTTTATAATTTGTCATTGGCATCCAACTCTGATTTTCCAATATTAAAGAATGGCTCTTAAGCTGAAAATTGCATCGTTTTGTGCAAATGGAATGGGGTCTTTTGTAAAGTGTGCAAAGGTGCAAGCACTAATTCAACAAGACAACCCAGACATCTTGTTATTATAGGAGATATATCATAAGGGAAAAGGTTCCCTATTCTATCTAGCACAAGTGTGGGCCTGGCTTATGCTGCAGCAGGTACCTCTGAAACAAGAGGCATGTTAGCTATTGTGGCTTCTCCTGGGGTCATAGGCTCACAGATTCATAGGCTGAGATCCTGTTACTTTATGGAAGGCAAATGGCTTTATATTCAGTTGCTTCTAGTTGGCAATTAACAAATCACTGTGGGGATTCTTGGGAGTACACACCTACTGGCTTGGCACACAGTAAAGAATCCCAGAGGGGACTCATTAATTGCTAGCTGGAAGGAACTGAGTGTTATGCTGTTTGCTTTCCACATGCATAACAAAGCAACAGGATTTCAGCCAGAGACTCCTTTAGTGATAAAAAAAGAGGCAGATATGGCTTCATTAAAATGTGCTAAGAAAATGACATCTTCATAAATTGCTAGCTGACAGCTAGCAATTTATGGGTCAGCACACTGCCCAAATGCTAACCAACAGGCTTTCATTTGGGACAACCCTTCATATATGTAAGACAATTAAAGAGGAGGAAGTCATTTTGTGGAGGTTTAGTGATAACCTCATTCTAGACCACTGGTTCTCAAAGTGAGGCCCCCAGATGTTCTTGGACTGTAATTCCCAGACAAATTCACCTTTTACTGTGCTAGCCAGGATTTGTGCGAGTTGCAGTCCAAGAACTTCTAGGGACCCAAGTTTGAGAACCACTGTTCTAGATCAGTTGGGCATTCATAACTCTGCCTGCTCTCCTCATACTCTGACTGAAACCTGTGGAAGTCTCACTAATTGAAAAGCACCTACAGTATTGTACCTTCCTCTGCCCAGTTTCCAAGGCTCCCTTGGTCACTGATCTTTCTTCTGGGAAGGATGGGGTAGGGTGAAAACCAGGAAGGAGGGGACATGGAGTATCTTGGAAGAGGGCTGGCTGGAGCGCTTAAGAGGAGCAGTCAAAAATGATATAACATGTCCCATCTGTATTGTTCAGTTCTTGTTTTAGCTTCAACCAACCTATGAAAGGCCCATTTGCACACAGGCCTGAGGTCAACTACAACAGCTTGGCAATGCAAGAACAACACACATGGCTGTGGACAACCACAGGAAATAAACATGAACACATAAGGTACGAAACCAGGTTTTTATTAATATTTAGGGGAAGTACAGTGCTACTCTTCATTAATACACCATTGCCAAAGGCCTCTGATGATGAAAACAATTTTTAACAAGAAGAAAAAAATTAAGGAGGATCAAAGCAAATCAGAGAGAGCAAAGCTGCAATGTCAAAACCTTCCTTCCACTCCTAATTCATGTACGGCTGCTTCTTCAATAGCTCGATGAAGGCTGCTCACTTCCTTCTGAGTCAAGGTTCTTTCCAAGTGCCTGTATGTGATCTCGTAACAATGGCTGACCTTTTTTGTCCTAGAAAACACAAAACGCATGTTGGAGGTGAGTTCTACATCCTCTTATGCACCTCTAAAAAGGGTGATGGAGTGCATCCCTTCCATTATCTCCTGCTTTCCTTGTCATGTTATTAGTTCTGTTTCTCAAGTTACCAATCCAAAGGATGGAGCCAGACTCATCAATTTTCTTCACTAATGCATAACTTGCTTTGACAGAGGAGAAGGCATCAATTTCGCTTTTGTAGGCCCACTTGCTTCTCAACCAACTCTCCTTTTCTATCTTTTAACAATCTCTCCAGTAAACAAAACAAAAATACCTAGCACCAATGATTACCTGTCTTTCCACAGAACATGCTACTGGGAGGACAATTTTGAAGTCACTAGGATTGAACAATAAATATCTCAAAATAGAAATTAACATGAAATGTTCATTAAGGACTTCTGTCACATCCACCCCATCATCAGCCTGGGTGTAGACTACATAAATGTAACAGATTCACTTTCTAGTCACTACTGCAGAACTATATAATAGCTGACATCCTGTAATGTACTTATGCCCATGGAAGCTATGCCACTGAAGGGCTTGACACTGCTAATTAATGAATTTCTGCTTGGATTTTCAGGCATGAAACTGTGGTGCACTGGCTGGCATGTGCCCAAACATCCAAATGAGAACTCATTAATTGTGACCAAGAAGTCATGGTGATTTGTGCCATTTGCCTTCCACAGGTGTAACAACATTACAGGATTTGGGCCAATCAGACATTATGAGACCATTTTCCATGAGACATCGATGGTATGCAACACACACTTAAAGAGACTGAAAATATTAAGTTATCAGAAATATACCGTATTTTTCGCTCCATAAGACGCACAGACTTTCCACCCCCCCTGTTTTGTGGGGGGAAAGTGCGTCTTATAGTGCGAAAAATACAGTAATTACTGTACTAGCAATTAATTACTTCTGAGTTAACAAGGGTGCAATGAAGTGCAATGAAGTAAATAAAAAGTAGGATTAATAATACTTTTTCAGAGAATATGGAACTTTTCCTAATTACTTTCAGAAGTTACTTTTAAAAGGTATTTTAAGGCATTTTTTAAAAGTGTTATGCTCTTCTCCTCTTGATCCCCCTGCTCCCAAGTAACAGAAAGTAACTGAAAAGTCCCATATCTGCCAAAAAAGTACTCTACACAGGTCAAACAGGCCTGTTGCTACACAAAATGATAATGGATATAGATCTGAAATTAGAAATAGTACTGTACTATTCAAATATCAGTGAAAAAATATTTCAGTCTTTCCGGATACACTTTCTGACCACAAAATTGCCATGATGTACTAAATATTTTTTACTACAAACATTCATCAACTCATTCATGAAAGGATGTCTGCATTACCACACAACTATTGTTGTTAATGACCCTTGTTAAAGGAATTATCAGTTTTTGAACTTTCAGTTCCTTCTGGCCCCACTGATTACAGTCTTTCACCTGCAACACTTGATGAAACATAGTTCACAAGTATATATATGCCACAGTAAAATTTGTTAGCCTTTAAGGCCCCACGTGACTTTTTGTTGCTTTTGCTGCAGTGGACTGACCAAGGTAACCCGTGGGACATGTAAAAAATTGAGCTTAGAAAGGTTCCTGTCTCTGGACTAGAATGCCTAGAAACTCTCCCACTAACCTAGTTTGGAAAAAGAAAGCAGCCTATCAAAGGTGTCATCACTGATGGTATTAATTTCCTGTGCACCACCATCATGTCTGATCAACTGATTTTGCAGTTTACGGAAAACTTCCAGTTTGCTTTCCATTGCTAAGACTAGCCCCAGGAGAATGACTGATTGTATTCAGTAGATGCTGGCAGCACAGTGAGGTCAAAGTCACAGAGTATGTGTGTGAGAGAACACAGTCTAGATGCAACAACATTTATTACTTTTGCGGCTCCTGCAGTTGGCCCTACTTTATTGGAAGCTAGGACCTGTCCATGCAGGGAGTGGGGTGGGAAGAGGGACTGGTAGGGCTATTTATGTCCATACTAGGATTCAAAAGAGTAAGATTAAAATGTGCTCAGTGTCTGGGGAATTCCAGGGGTTGTAGCCCACAAAAGTTACTTTTTTGAACTTTGAGTAAAGGTTTTCATGTGGAGGCTGGATAACTGTCTGTTGGGGGTGCATGACAAGGGGCCTGAATTAGATGATTCCTAATATTCCTTTCAGCTTAGCGATTCTAATATCCCATTATGGTCTTTGGTCAGATCAATCTTGCCAGGCTGCTTGTGTCTATTGACCTGCCCTAACAGTTAAGAGGTTTTTCCTGATATTAAGCTGAAATGTGATTCCATGTAACTTCAGCCCATTATTACATGTCCTGTACTTGGAGATGATCGAGAACAGATCCTGCCCCATCCCTGAACAATTATCTTTCAAGTATTTGAAAAGTTCTATCATATCTCCCCTCAGTCTTCTTTTCTCAAGGCCAAACAAACCCAGTTCTTTCAGTCTTCCATTATAAGCCTTGGTTTCCATTCGCATTACCATCCTGTTGCCCTCCTCTGAACTTGTTCTAATTGGTCAGCATCTTTGTTAAAGTGTGGTGTTGAGAAATGGACACAGTACTCAAGATGAAGCTCAACCAGTGCCAAATATCAAAAGACTAGTATTTCACTGGATTTTGAGACTCTACTTCTGTTAATGCAATCTTTCTGTTGTTTTCAGACCAGTGTTTAATCCTATTAAAAAAGTAAAAAATTGTTCATATCTTCCAGGGTATTAGCTATTCCACCCAATTTTGTGTCATCTGCAAATTTGGTAAGTACTCCTTGTACCCCTTCATCCGAGTAATTAATAAAAATGTTGAAGAGCACCAGGCCCAGGACTAAGCCTTGTGGTACCCTCCTTGCTGCCTCCTCCCAGTTTTAGTAAGAGCCATTGATAAGCACTCTCTGAGTACAATTCTTTAACCAACTGTTTATCCACCTGACACTTGTGCTATGCATCCCACACCTAGTTAGCTTGCTAATCAGAGTATCATGGGGCACTTTGTCAAAGGCTTTGCTGAAGTCAAGATATATTGCATCTACAGCATTCTCACTATCTACTAGGGAGGTTACCCAATCAAAAAATGAGATAAGACTAATCTGGCAGGATTTGTTCTTGACAAATCCATGTAGGTTTCTAGTTATCACTACATGCTTTTCAAGGTACTTGTAAAGTGATTTCTTCATAATCTGCTGCAGAATTTTCCCTGGGATTGAGGTCAGGCTGACTGGTCTGAAGTTCCCAGGTTCCCCCTTTTTGAAGATACGGATAACGTTAGCCGTTCTCCAATCATTTGGCCCTTCACCCATTCTCCATAATTTCCAGACAATAATAATCAGTGGTTCTGCAATCTCTTTAGCCAGTTTCTTCAATATCTTTGGATGCAATTCATCTGGCCCTGGGAAGTTGAACTCATTTAAAGTAGTAAGGTACTCCATGATTATTTACAGTATTTATCAATCTCAAATTATAATCCTATTCCCTTCCTTTGTACTTCACATTTGCCTGGAAAAGTATAGACTATCTTGTAGGAGAAGACCAGGTTGAAGTAGGAATTGAGCATTTCTGGCTTTTCTTTCTCCTCTGTTATAATTTTCCCATCCCCATTTACTAAGGGATGACTACTGCAGCATTAAGAGAGAAGCAACTACCGCAGAAATAATCATATCTTGACTTCAACAAAGCCTTTGACAAAATGTCCCATGATATTCTGATTAACAGGCTAACCTGGTGTTGGCTAGATAGCACATTTAGTAGAAATATTTTAAGAATATTTATATTTTTTAAAGCTATTTTCTTTAGTCATTGCATGCCCTTTCAGAACTGGCATGAAACCTCCTCCACCAACACCTCTCCTCCTCCTTTACAAAAAAGTTTATTTCCTTTAGCATAGTTGCCCTTTCCTAAGTAAGGCTTCCTCTCTTTTCATTTATTTTTTAATTAAGCAAATGGAAAACAACTGGGTTATGGTCACTGCAGCATTAAGCCTGTGATACAACTCCCACTGTATCACAGAAATAATTATCTGCACACAAACTGCACACATAGCTTGAAGGACTATTTAAAAAAAAACAAAATATCCTTTAAAAATGAACTTAACAGCTTAGATCAGACAAGCAAAATTAGTGGCAACACTGCAATATCTTCTCTGGAAAACCTCTGATATTATTGCCTGTGAAATGTATCCATGGTGTATCTCTTCTTCTGTGTGACCAATATTGGCAATAACTTCAGAGCACCAAGCAATTGCTTTCAAGGTCATCCTGTAGGTTAACCATCTTTTACAGAGCATTGGTCTTTAACAGGCAGGTCATGACCCACAACCGGACCATGACACTTGCTAAGCTGGCTGTTCTCTGTAAATGCCTGGTTTTTCAGAGAGGGGAAAAAAGAAGAAGAAAAAACAAAGACAAATTGAGGAGATGCAAGGGAGGGACAGGACTAAACAACTAAACAACAACAAAGGGAAGGAAGCAGAGGTAGAGAGTGAGAAGATCAATGCTTTAACAGAGAAAACATAAGTGTCCCAAACATCATGGCCAAATTGGGGGGGGGGGCAGGTCCTTTAAAAAAACAACAACAGGGTTGCAAAATCCACTCAAGAGATAGTAGATTTCACCTTTGACAATGTGAATTAAAATAGACAAAGAGCTGCCAGGCACTAAGAACCCCTTCCCCCAAGTGCCTTATACAAAACACATAGTTCCTTTTTGACTAAGGGGCAGAGGGATGGGGAAACATGATAACCCCCTGTCACATTCCCCCCTGTCCCTGGGTTGTTTCACCAAGCAAAGGGCACAAGCTAGGTGTAGTTTTGCTGCCACCCGTTCATTACATCAACCTTGTTTATTATTAATGATAGAGGTCCAGGCAATGTATCATTTAAAAAAGAACCAAATAGAAGTTGTTTATTATTACAGGTGATGAAGATACAGTCAATGTCGTTAACTCTTAACAAAACATCCTACTTTTTCCACCCTCA